GCGATCGTCCCGATGTGATGATGGTGATGACCTTCGACCCTTCACGGACATCATCGTCTTTGTCGTAAATTTAGATTTAAAGCTTTCGTGACTGCAGGGATTCATCTTCTTGGTTCTTTCGGTAAAGTCGCGTAGAAGGGAAATTCTTGGTCACGTAGAAGGGAAATTATTTCCCTTCTACGTGACTTTACCGAAAGAACCAAGAAGATGAGTCTTTGTCGTAGTTTTGGAACGGATTGTTAACTCACGCCGCTTTGTGTCCGCGGTTGCAGTTGATTTGGTCGGTCGAGCGATCGATCGACTGACGTCACCACATACCGGGGGGAATTCATTTGGACAACGTGAGCTTGGGGTGCTCTGTGTGGAGCGAGCAGCGACACAGATCTCCTGCGAGGATTACAGCCTTGGGACGTTGACGATTGTGGTGGTGATGTTGGTGGTGGTGATGATGGTGGTGGTGATGATGACGTTGTTGGTGGTGGTGGCGGTGATGATGGTGGTGGTGATGATGACGTTGTTGGTGGTGGTGGCGGTGATGATGGTGGTGGTGATGATGACGTTGTTGGTGGTGGTGGCGGTGATGATGGTGGTGGTGATGATGACGTTGTTGGTGGTGGTGGCGGTGATGATGGTGGTGGTGATGATGACGTTGTTGGTGGTGGTGGCGGTGATGATGGTGGTGGTGATGTTGGTGGTGGTGATGATGGTGGTGGTGATGATGACGTTGTTGGTGGTGGTGGCGGTGATGATGGTGGTGGTGATGATGGTGGTGGTGATGATGACGTTGTTGGTGGTGGTGGCGGTGATGATGGTGGTGGTGATGATGGTGGTGGTGATGATGACGTTGTTGGTGGTGGTGGCGGTGATGTGCGTACGTACGGTGAACTTCTTTCACACCGTACGTAGCCAACCCTGCTCATCAGAGGTGCAGTGGAAGAACGACAAACATGATGATGGTGGTGGTGGTGGTGATGATGGTGGTGTGATGACAATGACAAAAATCCTGATGATGGCCATTATGATGGTGGTGGTGATTTCGATGGTGGTGATCATGACAAAGATGATGGTGATGACAATGGATGGCAGTGGGTGATGATGACGATGGTGATGATGATGACGATGGTGGTGATGATGACGATGGTGGTGATGATGATGATGGTGATGATAATGGTAATGATGATGATGATGACGATGGTGGTGATGATGACGATGATGGTGGTGATGATGGTGTTGATGATGACGATGGCGGTGATGATGATGACGATGGTGGTGATGATGATGACGATGGTGGTGATGATGATGACGATGGCGGTGATGATGATGACGATGGTGATGATGATGACGATGGTGATGATGATGACGATGGCGGTGATGACGATGACGATGACGATGATGATGATGGTGGTGATGATGACGATGTTGATGATGACGATGTTGATGATGACGATGGTGATGATGATGATGACGACGATGGTGATGATGATGATGACGATGGTGATGATGATGACGATGGTGATGATGATGACGATGGTGGTGGTGATGATGATGATGATGATAAATTCAGTGCACTTCACTGCAAGGGGACCACGTAGTGAGAGCTCGCACACGGCCACTTCATCGAGTCCGCTCGCTGCCCTCTCTGCGTCAGCGCGCATAACTTTCCCCACCCACCCACCCTTTTGAACGTCTTTAGTGTGTAGGTATACCGACCGGATTGTCAATATGTGTGTGTGTGTGCGCACGTGAGCGTGTTCGTGGTAGCAGCTGTTATCGCTTTCAAATATTAAACTCTTTCTCTTTGGCGGTCGTGTGTATGCGCGTGTGTGTGTACGTGTGTCTGTTAATGTCCCGCGACCCAAATCCAGCCCGGATTTCGCACACAGACACTTGACCCCACACCAGCTTGTGTGGCAAATGTTAGTACACAAGTTGGCTGTGTCACGTGCGTGCGTGCGTGTGGGTGCGTGTGTGGCATCGCATCGATTTGCTCGCCGTGCTACGAAACCGCCGCGACCCGTGTCAACTTTCGTTTGTTACTCCCCGATTTTTGAAATTCCGTTCTCCGCGGATTGAAAAAAAGAAATAAAATATTTTGCACTCGCGTTCCAAGGTGGCGGCGGTGGTGGTGATGATGATGATGACCTTTTCGATCGTACGATCTTCGCCGTTGTTTTTTTCTAAACGGATTGTTTACTCTGCTTTTGTGATTCTATTGTTACCCCCGCCCCCTCCCCAGTGTAAAGTTAAAAACACAACCCCCCCCCACCCCAAAAAAAATCGGACGTCTTTCATCTGTTACGATGGTGTGACGGGTTGATCCGATCGCCCACGACCGGACGGTTCGAGCGACGGGCGCGACGCGAGCTCCGCTTGTTTGTCTCGACCCACTCTCCGTGCAGTTTGCGTCGTGCGCCAAATCCGTTGTTGTGCCCCCACGGGTGTCGGTCGGGCCAGTTCACGGGGCAACACCTCCTCCTAGCCGACGTCGCCGTCGCCGCCGATTAAACCCGACGCGGCAGCGTCTCCACCGAGATCGCTCGTGAGCCGACGCTACTGCTGTTACGACCTTTTTCATTTTTTTTTGTACTTTTTTGCTTCACGCGACGGATGTCCTGAGCACACGCGCGCGCGCCCCCCTCCCCTCCCCCCGCCCCGGCCCCCTTTTGTTACGACGCGGCGGTCTACGTCGGTAGCGTCGCGCGGGGTAGAGTCCTGCATTCGGCGCTTTAATCGCGAAATAAAGCCTGGAAGTTTTGCTGACCACCGTGTCCGCGCCCCCCGACTTTGCTTGCGTTGTCCCTACGATCGGGGGGGGCCCTGCCCCCCCGCCCCTTACCCCCACCACTGCGTGTCCGGCTCGATGATTTTTAAACATTGACAACAGTTGCCAGAAGTTCGCCCGTGTACACAGATACACCACACGCACAAAGTAATAATAAAGGACGTTGAAATCGATGATGAGAACCGGGGGTTTGTCTGTAGCGGTTGCAAGGAATACGAGCCGTTTTAAAAGTCGTAGCGTTATTGAATGCGGGCACTGCTCACGCACGCACGCCAACATCTCGCACCCACGCAAGCATACGCGCCTGTTTTGAACGTACGTACGTACCCACCAACCCACACGCGCGCACACACAATCGTGCACGCACCAACCAACACGCACGCAGCAAGACTCATCGTACGTGCTAATAATACACTTTGTGCACACGCTCTCGTACACACTCGCACGTACTCGCACACACACTAACGCACCTTTCTCACGCACGCGCACGCACACACGCTCATTCACAAGCGCACGCACGCGGACGCACGCACGCACACTCCCACATACTCGCGCGCGCACTGACACGCCATTCTCGCGCACACATTCATAAGCACGCACACTACCCACACGCGTACAAGCTCGCATACACACACACACGCGCGCACTAACACACACTCGCACGGACGCACGCACACGCCCACGCAATCACGCGCGCACTGACACGCCATTCTCACGCACACACATTCGCAAGCACGCGCACATGATCACGTACGCACGCTGCACACACTAACGCACCTTTCGCACACCCGCACGCACGCACTCGCACGCACCTTTTGGAACTTCTTTTGCTGTTTTTGATGTTTGACAATTATTGGCCGACGTTCATGTGCGTGCGTGTGTGTGCGTGCGCGTGTGTGTGCGTGCGTGTGTGTGTGTGCGTGCGCGTGTGTGCGTGCTCGTGTGTGCGTGCGCGTGTGTGTGTGCGTGCGTGTGTGTATGTGTGTGCGTGCGTGTGTGTGCGTGCGCGTGTGTGCGTGCGCGCGTGTGTGCGCGCGTGTGTGTGCGTGCGCGTGTGTGCGTGCGTGTGTGTGCGCGTGTGTGTGTGTGCGTGCGCGTGTGTGCGTGCGTGCTCGTGTGTGTGCGCGTGTGTGCGTGCGTGCGTGTGTGTGCGTGCGCGTGTCCTTTTATCCCCCTCTCGTCTTTAAAACTCTGGTTTCTCGTTGTGCTTTTGTCTGATTTTACAGATGAATCCGTGGTTCTTTGTACTTGGGAGTGCTCCACCACCTGGGGGGGGCGGGGGGGAGCCCCCACCCCTCCTGCGACTTGTAGACGCGTGTGTATGAGTAGGCCTGAGCCCGTAGTTCCCATTTGCTTTCCTCGACCGAGATCGGGCAAAGCGAGGGATAAGTTTGTGGCAGAAAAATGAAAAAAAAAGTCTGTTTTATCGACGTTGTGCCGCTGGACGGGAGGTGATGTGGTGCGCGTGTCACGTTGTAGCTTGGGCGGGGGTTTCCCTCCTTCGGGAGTTATGGGGGTGGGGTTTGTCGGTGTGTCGGGCGGTGGGTTGCCCCCCTTCCGGGAGTAGTCAATCGCGAAAAAAAAAGTCGATGGCAAAATAAAATAATCGGCTCCTTGTTGTTAACGCTAATCGCTGACGTGCAGTCGATTGGTTCTGTCTGTACCGAGCTCGCAGATGATTTGACGAGATTTGTCCTGCTAAGGTGCAGCCTTTGCGATCGTGATGCCCATGGTACGGACGGACGTACGTACGGACGGAGACTGACTCACGTACGGACGGAGACTGACTCACGTACACACACGACACACTGACCGAGGCCGTTACAGGTAAGAGCACGCATTTTACAGACGGTGACTGAACCAGCGCGGCTAGGACGCAGCAGCAAAACAACGCGGCATCTGGAATTGAGCCGCCCTGCTCCTCCAGAATCGCCGCGGATTCCATTCAGCGACGAGCGATGCGGGCGCGAGCGAATCGCTTAGCGCCCTGGCGGTCCGTCCACTGGGCGCCCCCACGGGTGTTTCCGCAGCTAAAATAGAAACCCCAAAACCCTGACACGCGCGATCGGCGCTCTTGCTTTCGCCGCATCTCTTTTACCTTTCTAATCGCTCGTTTGTGTTGTTTTTTATTTTGGTCGCTGGTCGCGACTCCCCACTACCCCCACGCCCTCCACCCTCCCCCCCCCTCTCCGGCCCCCTCCTCGTGTCTCCCATTCAGACGACGATGTGGAGGAGGAGGAGGAGTTGGTGGAGAACGCCTGGCCCTACATTCTCCACGGACCGGAGCGCGCCTGGTGTGCCGACGCGGAAAGACACGGCACGGGTTTCTGCCCCGCGGAACGCGGACTGCCCCAGGCGGATCCCAGCAACGGGGTTGGTGGTGGCAGTGGTGGCGGCGGCGGCGGTGTTGGTGGTGGGGAAACGGGCGCCGCAAATCCTGGGACGGATTCCTGTTCCCATTCCCCGTCCAACGTAATGGATTTCTCCAACGGAGGGGCGGCGGAGTGCGGGATGGAGTGTGGGCGAGCGGGCGAGGAGGGTGAGCGAGAGGGCGAGCGTAGCCCCCCTCCCGTGCTGTTTGGACAACTCCATCAGAACGGTAGTCCCAGCAGCATGGTGGAACAGAGACCTCTGTGGCCAAAGAGACTGGGTTGGCTGGACAACGGAGAGAGGTGATTGTTGATTTTGGGTGGTGGTGGTGGTCGTGGTGGTGGTGGTGGCGGTGGGGAGATGGTGAGGTGGTGAGGTGGTGTGGTGTTCGTGATGATGATGATTGCGGCGATGATGATGATCGCGGCGATGTTGATGATGGTGGTGGTTCGCCTTTTAGCGTTCTGGTCTGACGCTGGTGAGATGAGGTCCTAAAGAAGGCTGTCTCTGGTGTAGACAAATCAATTTCAAAGTGAATGCTATATATTATCAGTGCATGTTTTTGTTGGCATGTTCAGTACAGGTGCCGTGTGTGCTTAATGCGGTAACTTGATTCCTGGCAAAATGTTTATTTTTGGTGCTTGAACATATCAACACTTGTTTTATTCATACTCTGATACTATAAGAAAAGCTCCCGTGTTGATGGTGAAGGTGGTGGTGGTGGTGGTGTTTATGATGATGATGATGATGGTGGTGGTGCTGATGAAGGTGAAGATGTTCTTGATGTTGATGATGGTCGTGGTGTTGATGATGATGGTGTTGGTGAAGGTGTTCATGATGGTGTTGATGGTAGTGGTGATGGTAGTGGTGTTGATGAAGATGGTGATTGTGGTGGTGCTGGTGAAGGTGTTTGTGATGTTTCTGATGGCCAGTCAGCGTTGATGGTGGTGGTAGTATAACAGTCAGCGCGCTGCGCTACGAAACTGGCGATTTCCGCTCACGGCCAACACCAGTGACGATTATTTTAACCGACCCTGGGCCTTCCCTGGGTCGACTCGGCCTCAAATGAGTACCTGGTGCGGTGTGTAGTAAACATGGTCACTGGGGAGACAAAGGCGGCCGGGCGTGGTGATGGTCACCCACCCCCGTCGTGTGCCGTGCCGGCCTTCATAGGTGCTACTCGCTAACAGCACTTGCCCCAACAATCTGTTACAGGCCATACGGGGGGGTGGGGGGGGGGTCTTTGTCTTTGTGTTGGTGGTAATAAAAAACAAGTATAACCCGTAAAAACAAAGTTTTTCACTCTAAATCCTTTATATGCGTGGCGGCTAGAGTCCTCTCGTCCTCTGGCTTGAGATGGCTGCCACCTATGCGTCAGAAGATTGTCTGGCAGCATTAAACAATTGGTAATTAATAAAAAAAAATTTCCCTAAACAGTGTAAACATTTTTTCAAGAAAATGCATTGTCACGCACAACGAGTCTGTGTGCAAAATGTCAGCTCGATTGGATCACGGGAAGTGGGTTAAAAAACGACCGAAAGATTTGCACGGTCCTAAGCAAGCAAGCAAGTGAACTTAATATAAAGGATTTAAAAACACAAGCGCCAATAAGTGACGACGCCGTCGCTTGCGAGGCTCGAAACTCGCCGTTGACCGTCGCATATCAAGTACGAACGCACCGTGCAGCTCGTTCACCGAATGTGCGTGCGTGCTCGTTTTTCCCCGATCGCCCCCCCAACCGACAGGGATAACGATGACTTCTACGCCTTCGGCCACTACCACGGCTTCGGCGATTCCGCCGAGGATTTCGAAGACGTTTGCCGGAGTTCGCACGACAGGGCGGTGGCGGCGGCGGCGGCGGCGGCCGCATCGCGGAATGGCCTCGCGCCAAGCCAGGTGCACGACCAGGTGGGCAACCGGGTTGTGTCGACGGGGCGACTGGCCGGCTGACTCGTCGATGGTTGACAGGGGCGTGTGCGGAGGGTGCGGTGGGTGTGTGGGGTGTGTGGGGTGTGTGGGTGACCGGTCGACCGGGCGATTGAACTGGGTGATCGAGCAGGTGACTGACCAGGTGACTGACCAGGTGATTGACCAGGTGATTGATCAGGTGATTGATCAGGTGATTGACCAGGTGATTGACCAGGTGATTGATCAGGTGATTGATCAGGTGATTGACCAGATGATTGATCAGGTGATTGATCAGGTGATTGACCAGGTGATTGACCAGGTGATTGACCAGGTGATTGATCAGGTGATTGATCAGGTGATTGACCAGGTGATTGACCAGGTGATTGACCAGGTGATTGATCAGGTGATTGATCAGGTGATTGACCAGGTGATTGACCAGGTGATTGATCAGGTGATTGACCAGGTGTCTGACCAGGTGACTGACCAGGTGTCTGACCAGGTGATTGACCAGGTGTCTGACCAGGTGACTGACCAGGTGTCTGACCAGGTGACTGACCAGGTGTCTGACCAGGTGACTGACCAGGTGACTGATCAGGTGATTGACCAGGTGACTAACCCCAAAAAACTCTTACGGATGATATTGGTCGCGAAAGCCGATGTGTTCAATGAACATGTTCCATCTCGTGCGATGTTTCCAGGTGAAATGCTTTGAACGAGTTCAAAAATGCCAGTCACAAAGCGTGAGTGTGTCACCCTCCGCGAGATGTTAACCTCTTGCTCAAATTCATTTTGTGTGTCTTCCAGAATAGCAGGATGTAGCTGATCTGGGTCCCGATGCAGACTCGTGGACGTGAAGGCACAGTGAGTGTCGACTGTGTGGAAGTGTGCGTGGGTTTATGTGTGAAGGTGTGGTGTGTGCGGTGTGCATGTGGCGTGGTGCGTATGTGCTTGTGGTGTCTTTTTTATTGTTGGTGGGGTCATCCCACGTGTGTGAGATGTGCATGGTGTGTGAGATGTGCATGGTGTGTGAGGGGTGTATGGAGTGTGAGATGTGCGGTGTATGTGTGGGGTGTTTGTGTGTGTGTGGCACGCGTGTGTGTGTGTGTGTGGCACGTGTGTGTGTGTGTGTGTGGCACGTGTGTGTGTGTGGTGCAGTGAATCACACTGAGAATCAATCAGACCCCTACCACCAACACCCGCTCCACTGGGGTCAACTTCAGGTAAGTCTGCTGCACGTGAGTTCCCTCCTGAGTCCAATCCACGTGAGCCCGCTCCACGTGTTTCATCTGTTCCTGTACCCTGTCGCTCGTGGCTACACTACTGCACATGGCCTGTAATGCAGCACTGTAGAGGGTGGATCAGGCCGCCACGGTGGTAAGATGTGAACTCCCTCGCCTGGTATATTATAGGAGGTCGTGGGTTCGATCCTGACCCTGATGCCTGTTGTAAATTTGGAGTTTGCGTGTCCCTCTCTTTCCATGGTGAGATTTTAACTACCTCGCCTGGTATACAGGAGGTCGTGGGTTCGATCCCGACCCTGTGACGCCTGTTGTATATTTGGAGTTTGCGTGTCTCTCTCCATGGTGGTGAGATGTTAACTACCTCGCCTGGTTTACAGGAGGTCGTGAGTTCGATCCCGACCCCGACCCTGACGCCTGTTGTAAATTTGTAGTTTGCGTGTCTCTCTCCATGATGAGATGTTAACTACCTCGCCTGGTTTACAGGAGGTCGTGGGTTCGATCCCGACCCTGTGACGCCTGCTGTATATTTGGAGTTTGCGTGTCTCTCTCTCTCCGTGGTCGCGTATATTTTTCTCCGGGTCCCCCGGTTTTCCCCCTCCACATTTAGAATCAACGTCGCGTGTTTCGAGTATTCGGCTGCTGCTGCTGCTATATATTTCCCAGCTATCATTTGTGTCCAGCTTGCTTCTGACAAACGAGCTTAAACAGCTCAGTGAGCATAACTTGGTAAAAATAGCAGTCTTTTTAAATACGTGGTCAACCAGGTTAGTGTCTAACTGTGTTGTTGGCCGACTGGTTTGCATCGCATTAAGTTTCTTGCTGTATTTGCCTCCGTGCAGTTTGCCGTTCTGTGTGTGCTCCGTGTCTGATGTCCTTCCCTGTGTGTTCCCTCGCTGTGTCTTTTGCCCCATTTTCACCTGATGATGAGCGGCTTGTGTTGCGTTGGAAACGTCGTGATTTATTTAATTTGTGACTTATTAAAATTGTATTTTATTTCTACATACGTGACTTTACCGAAAGAACCAATGACTGTAATTGTTCAGCTTTTTTAGTTCTATAGGGAATGATGGCGGGATGGCAAGCGGGGGATAATTCTAGATTTGAAGCTTTCGTGACTGCAAGGATTCATACTCTCAGTTCTTTCGGTAAAGTCACGTAGGTAAAAAATGAAATTAAAATTAATAAAAATAAAATAATAAAAATCACGACGTTTCGGAGGCAACACAAGTCTCCGTCATCAGGTGGGACCGTCACAGTTGAATTTGCTGTATCAAGTGAGGCAGGGATTCAAGATGCAAGTTCTTAAATACAAGTTAAGGGGGAGGAGAGGGGTGGGAGCTTATCAAAATGTGGTAGCCAATGAATGGAACGTATTGGGAGGGAGGGGCGGGGTTAAAAGATCACATGGTGTTCCATTCATTGGCTACCACATTCTGATAAGCTCCTCACCCCTCCTCCCCCTTAACTTGTATTTAAGAGCTTGCATCTTTGAATCCCTGCCTCACTTGATGCAGCAAATCTGGCTGTGACGGTCCCACCTGATGACGGAGACTTGTGTTGCCTCCGAAACGTCGTGATTTTTATTATTTTATTTTTATTAATTTGAATTTAATTTTGTACCTACGTGACTTTACCGAAAAAACTTAGGGTATAAGTGAGGATAATTTCCATCCGTGCGGGGATTGGGTCTTGACCCCTGCCGCCGCCTTGTATGCGTTTGGTTTTCCTCCGGGCACCCCGGGGGGGTTTCCTGCCGCACGTATAATGACGCTCATTCGTGGAGTTGTTCAACATCTCCGTGAAGGAGCACGGGATTCGCTTGGATGACCTTCGGTGTTGCTTCTGGCCGACTTTCCATTTCGTCTACCTGGATTTGATTGCGACTTTCAAATGTTTGTAAAAATGTATCATTAGCCCGTAATTAAATGACGAATTGTTAATCTTCTTGGTTCTTTCGGTAAAGTCACGTAGAAGGGAAATAATAAAATAATAAAAATGGAACATAATAAAATACAATTCTCACGACGTTTCGGCCACAACGCAAGCAGCCGTCCTCAGGTGAATAACAGGTCTGTCGGAAAGACAGCGTCTGAATAAATGAAAAATATTAAATAAATGGGTTCATTCAGACGCTGTCTTCCCGACAGACCTGTTCTTCACCTGAGGGACGGCTGCTTGCGTTGTGGCCGAAACGTCGTGAGAATTGTATTTTATTATGTTCCATTTTTATTATTTTATTATTTCCCTTCTCCGTGACTTTACCGAAAGAACCAAGAAGATGAATCCCTGCAGTCACGAAAGAAGCTTTAAATCGGAATTGTTAATCGTCGATTGTCAGTAACGCCACGGTTGATTTTGTGATCCGCAGCTCCAAGGCATTGTGGGTACCTGGATGGGGCGGCGAACGTCTCGCCCTGGGAACCCCTTCGATTGTGTTCACCACTCGCGCGCCACGCAAAGACAAAGATCCCCCGTGTAGCCTCTACCACCAAGACTGTTGGGGCAAGTGCTGTTGGCGAGCGCCTATGAAGACCGGCACGGCACACGAACGGGTGGGCGGCCAGCACCACGCCTCCGTGGTGCTGCTACACACACCGCACCAGGGGAGGCCCAGAACGAGTTTAGATATTCGCCACTGGTGTTTGCCGTGAGCGATAATCGAACTCGGGTCGCCAGATTTGTAGTGCAGCGTGGCGCTTACCGCTGCTGCACCGCTCCCCGCATACACACACGCCACGCACGCTACACGCATACATGCTACGCGCAGACACGCCACGCACACACACATGCCACGCACGCCACGCACACACACACCACGCACACACACGCCACGAATACAGACACGCACCACACGCGCCACGCACACACGCGCCACGCACACACACGCCACACACACACAAACCACGCACACGGCACACACACGGCACTCCACGCACACCCACGGCACCCACGTCACACACGGCACGCCACGCACGCACACAAACAGCGGTATTGTAATCAGATTACCAAAGATTAGGGACTGGTAATCCTGTGTGATTGTCATTGTATAATCAGATGATATGTATGTGTGTATGAGTGTCGGTGCGTGTGTATATATGCTGTTGGCACAGTAGGGGGCACAGGTTGTGCATCAGCCAGTCATCTCGGTCATCTCGGTCAGTCAACCTGTGGCACTTGCTGGGTCTGCCCCGTGACCTCCTGCTAGCGGGCGTTCGACACTTCACGTGGCCTCAAGGTGCACATGGCCTGGCACAAGCGCCGTGGTGACGTCACCGCCACTTAGTGGTGAATGGCGGTTGTTGTTGTTGCGTGTAGGTGTGTGCGTGTGTGTGTGTTTATGTGGGGAGCGGAATGGTAGCGGTTAGCGCTACGCTGCGCTATGAACCCAGCGACCCGAGTTCGATTCCCGCCCACGGCCAACACCAGTGACGATTATCTGAACCGGTCCCCGGCCTCCCCTAGGTCGACTCAGCCTCAAATGAGTACCTGGTGCGGTGTGTAAACATCACCACTGGGGAGACAAAGGCGGTCGGGCGTGGTGCTGGCCACCCACACCACCTCGTGTGCCGTGCTCGCCTTCATAGGTGCTCGCTAACAGCACTTGCCCCTAGAATCTGTTAGAGACTATACGGGGGGGAAATTTGTGTCTCTGGGTATGTGTTCGTGTCCGTGCATATACACAGTATACGGTGTGTAAACATCGCCACTGGGGAGACAAAGGCGGTCGGGCGTGGTGCTGGCCACCCGCCCCCATCGTGTGCCGTACCAGCCTTTGTCGGTGCTCGCTAACAGCACGTCTCAGGGCTACGTGCTGGGGGCATCTGTGTATCTTCGTACAGAGTGTGTGTGCGTGCGCCTGTGTCCCCGTATGTGTGGGGAGCGCGGTAGTCGTTAGCGCTTTGCACTGCGAGGCCCGGCGACCCGAGTTCGAATCACGCTCGCACAGCCACCGTCGGTCTCGACTCGCCGTGGCGCGTCAAACAAATCGGCGGCCGGGGGTACGACGCGCTCACACGGCCTCAACGGAGGTCCCCACCGAGTTTGATTCCCATGCGATTCAAACCTCGGTGGCATCGTGATACCGTGCGCCGGTTTTCCGCGCCTTGCAGAAATGACCGCAACTACTACCGCCAGCCATCGCCAAAGCCGTACTTGAGCCGGTGTGGTGATGTATGGTTCGGATGAGCGAGCTGCTGCTGCAGGCACTCCGTCCTATGAACATTCAGCCTCGGGTGCACCCCCAGAGGAAAGCAGGACCACGTGACTGGGGCCTGCGATTGGGTAAAGTCTCTCAACCCCCGTCCACTCCGTCCACATCTAAGGGGGGGGTGGATAAACTAAAAGGCAAAGGGTTAAAACTTTGTCGTTTCGATTTAAAGCTTTGGTGACTGCAGGGATTCGTCTTCTTGGTTCTTTCGGTAAAGTCACGTAGAAGGGAAATAATAAAACATAATAAAATAATTCTCACGACGTTTCGGCTACAACGAAAGCAGCCGTCCTCAGGTGAAGAACAGGTCTGTCGGAAAGACAGCTTCTGAATGAACCCATTTATTTAATATTTTTCATTCATTCAGACGCTGTCTTTCCAACAGACCTGGTCTTCACCTGAGGACGGCTGCTTGCGTTGTGGCCGAAACGTCGTGAGAATTGTTTTATTATTTCCCTTCTACGTGACTTTACCGAAAGAACCAAGAAGATGAATCCCTGCAGTCACGAAAGCTTTAAATCGACAATCATTATCATCTTCTTGGTTCTTTCGGTAAAGTCACGTAGAATGGAAATAATAATATAATAAAAATAAAACATAAAATATTATTTTATTTTATGTTTTATTTTATTTTATTATTTCCCTTCTACGTGACTTTACCGAAAGAACCAAGAAGATTTGTTGTTGTTTCGTTTCTCTTCGCGGATACTTTGGCCAAGTCTCTTGGTCGAGATGTAAAAGACTAAAGAGAGTGAAAATATGTTCAAGGTTTTTTTTATAATAATTTATTAAACACAAGATGAGTGTTCTGTGTTTTTTTTCTTCTTTTCTATTCGTTTGTGATACTGTAAAAAAAATAAAAAGATGGTTCGGACGTGCGATGGTTTACTCCGAAGTGTACAAAATGTTTGGTGGGTTTTCTGAAAGTGAAATGCTCTCGTTTCTCAACTTTGGAATAAAATTTTCAAAAATGCATAAACAGATTATCTCTGCTCGTTGAGTCTTGACCGGCGGTGAGCTGTGTATGAGCTTGTTGTATGATGTGTATACTGTGTGTGAGCTTGTAATACTGTGTGTGCTGTGTGTGTGCTGTGTATGAGCTTGTATACTGTGTGTGCTGTGTGTGAGCTTGTATACTGTGTGTGCTGTGTGTGTGCTGTGTATGAGCTTGTTGTATGATGTGTATACTGTGTGTGAGCTTGTAATACTGTGTGTGCTGTGTGTGAGCTTGTAATACTGTGTGTGCTGTGTATGAGCTTGTATACTGTGTGTGCTGTATGATCTGTGTGCTGTGTGCGAGCTGTGTGTGCTATATATGAGCTGTGTGAGCTGTGTGTGTGCTATGTATGAGCTGTGTGAGCTGTGTGTGTGCTGTGTGTGAGCTTGTAATACTGTGTGTGAGCTGTGTGTGAGCTTGTACTACTGTGTGTGTGGTATGTGAGCTGTGTGTGAGCTTGTACTACTGTGTGTGTGAGCTGTGTGTGAGCTTGTAATACTGTATGTGCTGTGCAAGCTGTGTATGAACTGTGTAAGCTGTGTGTGTGCTGTGTGTATGAGCTGTGTGTGTGCTGTGTATCAACTGTGTGTGAACTGTGTGTGCTGTGTGTGAGCTTGTAATAATGTGTGAGCTGTGTGTGTGCTGTGTGTAAGCTATGTATGAGCTGTGTGTGCTATTGGTCTCTTAAGTCTGTGCGTCTCAATGTGTGTTAGTATATTAGTCGATGTGAGCCTGTGGGTCTCTGTAAGTTTGGGTCTGTACGTGTGTCTGTGTTAGTCTATTCGTCTCTGTAAGCCTGTGTGAGTCTATGGCTCTATATCAGTCTATGGGTCTCCAAGTCTGTGGGAATCCATGTCCAGTGTCTGGATATCTTCAGCACTGGCCTCACAATACAAAGACAAAGATCCGCCGTGTAGCCTTAACAGGCGGTAAGGGCAAGTGCTGTTAGCGAGCGCCTATGAAGGCCGGCACGGCACACGAGGGGAGTGAGTGGCCAGCACCACGCCCGGCCGCCTTTGTCTCCCCAGTGGCGATGTTTACACACCGCACAAAGTATCTCGCTTGAGGCTGAGTCGACCTAGGGGAGGCCCATGACCGGTTCAGATAATCGTTGGCCGCTCCACGACCGCTCCCCACATAATTATCGACGATATTCACCCAGAAATGTCTGTCCGTCCTGCGCGTGACGTCACGCCACATGAGGCCCACCCCCCCTCATTAATATTCATGAGTAGGTGACGTCACGCCACATGCCCCACCCCTCAACAACAAGCATGAGGGGTGACGTCACGCCACATGCCCCACCCCTCATTAATATTCATGTGTAGGTGACGTCACGCCACATGCCCCACCCCTCAACAATAAGCATGAGGGGTGACGTCACGCCACATGCCCCACCCCTCATTAATATTCATGAGCAGGTGACGTCACTCCACATGCCCCACCCCTCATTAATAACCATGAGGGGGTGACGTCACTCCACATGGGGCAACCCTAATTAATAATCATGAGCTGAACAATTTTTCTATTCAAAATTTCAGATTTACTGCAATAAACAGCCGTCCTTGGACGGGCAACAGAGCTCTTATCAAATAAACACGTTGTCCTGCTGCGGAGGGAGCTGGTAGGAACGTTGGGTTGCTCGGTCAATGGCCTGCAGGGTCAACGCGGCGTGGTGTATTCCGCAAATATGCCCGACTGTGAGGGCGGGCACAAGCCGGCGTGAGTAGGTTAAACGTTGAGTTTTATAAGGGCACCACGGGGTGACCAGCCCCTCCCCACCCAGCCCCTCCCCTCCCACCCCTCCCACCCCCCACCCAGCCCCCACCCTCCCCACCCAGCCCCACCCTCCCCACCCCACCCAGCCCCTCCCCACCCAGCCCCTCCCCTCTCCACCCAGCCCCACCCATCCCACCCCCCACCCAGCCCCACCCTCCTCCCCACCCTCCCCCACCCTCCTCCCCACCCAGCCCCTCCCCACCCTCCCCACCCAGACCCTCCCCACCCAGCCCCTCCCTGCACGACGGACACAATAATCCCTTGTGGGCTGGTGTAACCAGGAGGTTCCTACTAGTGTAATAGAAGCTCTTTGGTTCTACCTAGATTTTAAGTTTTCGTGACTGCAAGGATCCATACTCTTTGGTTCTTTCTGTAAAGTCACGTAGGTGAAAAATAATAAAAAATAAATAACAAATTACATTAAAAAATCTATATAAATAAATCACAACGTTTCGATTGCAACACAAGCAACCATCACACACCTGATGATGATTGCTTGTGTTGCAATAATAAATAAAAAATGAAAATAAAAAATTTGAAACTAAAAAATCACGAAGTTTCGATTGCAACACAAGCAATCATCACACAACTGATGATGGTTGCTTGTGTTGCAATAAAAAATAAAAAATATTAAAAAATATAAATAAATCACGTTTCGATTGCACATCGGATTATGATTGCTTGTGTTGCAATCGAAACGTCGTGATTTATTTATTTCTATTTTTAATTTTATTTAAAATTAAAATTGATTCTTTTTCACCTCCGTGACTCTTTGGTTCGAACCTACGTGACGTTACCGAACGAACCAAAAATTATAGATTCCTGCAGTCACGAAAGCTTCAAATCAAGATATAACTCAAGATCATAGCAATACCCGCCATGCACCACGACGTCGCCGGTGGCTTCACCACGGCGCCTGTGCCAGGCTAGGTGCACTTTGAGGCCACGTGAAGTGTCGAAGGCTCTCTGCTGATAGGAGGTCACGGGACAGATCCCAGCAGGTGTAGATACCACTGGTTCTTCATGTTCTGCAGATGTAGTTGCCACTGGTTCTTCATGTTCTGCAGATGTAGATGCCACTGGTTCTTCACGCTCTGCAGATGTAGATGCCACTGGTTCTTCACATTCTGCAGATGTTGATGCCACTGGTTCTTCACGCTCTGCAGATGTAGATGCCACTGGTTCTTACACGCTCTGCAGATGTAGAGCCACTAGGTTCATGTTCTTGCAGATGTAGATTGCCAACTGGTTCTACACGTTCTGCAGAATGTAGATTGCCACTGGTTCTCAGGTTCTGTAGATCGTAGATGCCACTGGTTCTACAAGTTCTGCAGATGTAGATGCCCACTGGTTCTTCAGGTTCTGCAGATGTAGATGCCCTGGTTCTACACGTTCTGCAGATGTAGATGACGGACGGGGGGGGGGGGGGGTGGTGGGTGTTCTTCACATTCTGCAGATGTAGATGCCACTGGTTCTTCACGCTCCTGCAGATGGAGATGCCACTGGTTCTTCAGGTTCTGTAGATGTAGATGCCACTGGTTCTACCGTTCTGCAGATTAGATGCCACTGGTTCCGGCAAGATGTAATGCCACTGGTTTTACAGTTCTGCAGATGTAGATGCCACTGGTTCTTCACGCTTCTGCAGATGTAGATGCCACTGTTCTTCACAGTTCTGCAGATGTAGATGCCACTGGTTCTCACGCTCTGCAGATGTAGATGACACTGGTTCTTCCCGCTCTGCAGATGTAGATGCCACTGGTTCTACACGTTCTGCAGATGTAGATGCCACTGGTTCTACACGTTCTGCAGATGTAGATGCCACTGGTTCTTCAGGTTCTGCAGATGTAGATGCCACTGGTTCTACACGTTCTGCAGATGTAGATGCCACTGGTTCTTCACGTTCTGCAGATGTAGATGCCACTGGTTTCTCACGTTCTGCAGATGTAGATGCCACTGGTTCTTCATGTTCTGTAGATGTAGATGCCACTGGTTCTTCCCGTTCTGCAGATGTAGATGCCCCTGGTTCTTCCCGTTCTGCAGATGTAGATGCCACTGGTTCTTCACGTTCTGCAGATGTAGATGCCACTGGTTCTTCATGTTCTGTAGATGTAGATGCCACTGGTTCTTCCGTTCTGCAGATGAGAGCCACTGGTTCTTCATGCTTGCAGATGTAGATTGCCACTGGTTCTTCACGCTCTGCAGATGTAGATGCCACTGGTTCTTCACTGTTCTGTAGATCGTAGATGCCACTGGTTCTTCACGTTCTGCAGATGTAGATGCCACTGGTTCTTCAGCTCTGCAGATGTAGATGCCACTGGATTCTTCACGCTCTGCAGATGTAGATGCCACTGGTTCTTCACGTTCTGCAGACTGTAGATGCCACTGGTTCTTCACGTTCTGCAGATGTAGATGCCACTGGTTCTTCACGTTCTGCAGACTGTAGATGCCACTGATTCTTCACGTTCTGCAGATGTAGATGCCACTGGTTCTTCACGTTCTGCAGATGTAGATGCCACTGGTTCTTCACGTTCTGCAGATGTAGATGCCACTGGTTCTTCACGTTCTGCAGATGTAGATGCACTGTTCTTCACGTTCTGCAGATGTAGATGCCACTGGTTCTTCACGTTTCTGCAGATGTAGATGCCACTGGTTCTTCACGTTCTGCAGATGTAGATGCCACTGGTTCTTCACGTCTGCAGATGTAGATGCACTGGTTCTTCACTTCTGCAGATGTAGATGCACTGGTTCTTCATGTTCTGCAGATTAGATGCCACTGTTCTTCACGTTTGCAGATGTAGATGCCACTGGTTCTTCACGTCTGCAGATGTAGATGCCACTGGTCTTCACGCTTCTGCAGATGTAGATGCCACTGGTTCTTCATGTTCTGCAGATGTAGATGCCACTGGTTCTTCACGCTCTGCAGATGTAGATGCCACTGGTTCTTACGCTCTGCAGATGTAGTTGCCACTGGTTCTCACGCTCTGCAGATGTAGATGCCACTGGTTCTTCATCGCTCTGCAGATGTAGTTGCCAACTGGTTCTTCACGCTCTGCAGATGTAGATGCCACTGGTTCTTCATGCTCTGCAGATGTAGATGCCACTGGTTCTTCACGCTCTGCAGATGTAGATGCCACTGGTTCTTCACGCTCTGCAGATGTAGATGCCACTGGTTCTTCATGCTTCTGCAGATGTAGATGCCACTGGTTCTTCACGCTCTGCAGATGTAGATGCCACTGGTTCTTCACGCTCTGCAGATGTAGATGCCACTGGTTCTTCATGTTCTGCAGATGTAGATGCCACCAGTTCTTCACGTTCTGCAGATGTAGATGCCACTGGTTCTTCACGCTCTGCAGATGTAGATGCCACTGGTTCTTCCCGTTCTGCAGATGTAGATGGCACTGGTTCTTCACGTTCTGTAGATGTAGATGCCACCAGTTCTTCACGTTCTGCAGATGTAGATGCCACTGGTTCTTCACGCTCTGCAGATGTAGATGCCACTGGTTCTTCACGCTCTGCAGATGTAGATGCCACTGGTTCTTCACGTTCTGCAGATGTAGATGCCACTGGTTCTTCACGCTCTGTAGATGTAGATGCCACTGGTTCTTCACGTTCTGCAGATGTAGATGCCACTGGTTCTTCACGTTCTGCAGATGTAGATGCCACTGGTTCTTCACGTTCTGCAGATGTAGATGCCACTGGTTCTTCACGCTCTGCAGATGTAGATGCCACTGGTTCTCCACGTTCTGTAGATGTAGATGCCACCAGTTCTTCACGTTCTGCAGATGTAGATGTCACTGGTTCTCCACGTTCTGCAGATGTAGATGCCACTGGTTCTTCACGTTCTGCAGATGTAGATGCCACTGGTTCTTCACGCTCTGCAGATGTAGATGCCACTGGTTCTTCACGTTCTGCAGATGTAGATGCCACTGGTTCTTCACGCTCTGCAGATGTAGATGCCACTGGTTCTTCACGTTCTGCAGATGTAGATGCCACTGGTTCTCCACGTTCTGTAGATGTAGATGCCACTGGTTCTCCACGTTCTGCAGATGTAGATGCCACTGGTTCTTCACGCTCTGCAGATGTAGATGCCACTGGTTCTTCACGTTCTGCAGATGTAGATGCCACTGGTTCTCCACGTTCTGTAGATGTAGATGCCACCAGTTCTTCACGTTCTGCAGATGTAGATGCCACCACCGCCGTATATTGCGTAGCGGTTGAACTTACGTCTCTCGGTTCAGAACAGGCATCTGGACGTACGGGGGTGGGACAGGTTTGTTCGTTTTCGATTTAAAGCTTTCGTGACTGCAGGGATTCATTTTCTTGGTTCTTTCGGTAAAGTCACGTAGAATGGAAATAATAAAATAAAAAAATTAAACATAATGAAAAAAGAAATTTTTCTTATTTTATTATTTCCATAATAATTTATTTTATTATGTTTTATTTTTTTTATTTTTTCCATTCTACGTGACTTTACCGAAAGAACCAAGAAGGTTTGTTCGTATCTCTGCAATTCCGCAAGTCGAGTGTTCGTAAGTGGGGGAGTGCCCTGTAACGATTTGCTGAAAGTCAACAGTGGAACTTGCCCGTGGCAAACGTGGAGTTTGACATCTGGTGGAAATTCCCCATTGCTATGGCGAGGACTCGGCACTTCACCGGTGCAATTCTCAGTGGCACCCGCGTGGTGGCGCTACAGCAGTAGGGATTTAAAAACACCTCACCTCTGACCTCTTAGATATGACACAACACATGCGAATGGGTCACGTCCGTGTCACGTGGTGACGCAGGGCGACGTGCGATTGGTCAATAGCTCTCCCTCGCCCCGCCCCCCGCCCGAATTATTTATTTAATTAGTTTGAGTTCGTTGGTCGCCATCTTGGGTAGGGGTGAAGGCAACTTTTATTTTTAAATACAAATCAGTTTCTTCTAGATTTGAAGCTTTCGTGACTGCAAGGAATCATATTCTTAGGTTTTTTTCGGTAAAGTCACGTAGGTAAAACATCAAAATTAATGAAAATAAAATAAAATAACGACGTTTTATTTTCATTAATTTTGATGTTTTACCTACGTGACTTTACCGAAAAAACCTAAGAATACAAATCAGTTTCGTTGAGATTTTGTGATTAACTCAAGGGGGGGGGGGGGGTTTATGTCTGCTACCCAATAGCTGCCATTCGCGTAACTATTCGTTAAAGTATTCCCGTTAAAAAAAAATGTCATAAAATTGTTTTTTTTATTATCGAATTCTCAGCGGTGTATATACAAGCGCACATTTCCTATCGTCAACTCTCTCTCTCTGTACTGGCCTCGCTTCGAAAGGTCCATTCCCCGAAACGTCGCTTCAATATTTGAATGAGGATCCCCAGCCCCTCCCTCCACCCCGAGGCCCCCTTACCCAACATGGCCACGGGTGGAGCGGGTCACGTGGCCCCCACCACATCCCCCGCTCCCCCGCCCCCCTCACCCCCCGCTCTTCTCACCCTCCGCCCCCCTCATCCCCCGCTCCCCCGCCCCCCTCACCCCCCGCTACCCCCGCCCCTCTCACCCCCCGCTACCCCCGCCCCTCTCACCCCCCACTAGCCCCGCCCCTCACCCCCCACTATCCCCGCCCCTCATCCCCCACTAGCCCCGCCCCTCACCCCCACTAGCCCCGCCCCTCACCCCCACTAGCCCCGCCCCTCACCCCCCACTAGCCCCGCCCCTCTCACCCCCCACTAGCCCCGCCCCTCACCCCCCATTAGCCCCGCCCCTCATCCCCCACTACCCCCGCCCCTCACCCCCACTAGCCCCGCCCCTCATCCCCCACTACCCCCCGCCCCCTCACCCCCCACTAGCCCCGCCCCTCACCCCCCACTAGCCCCGCCCCTCCTCCCAGAAAAAAATGGTGGCTGAGCTCTCTGTGCAGACTCCGCTCGGAGGGTGTTGTGAATTTAACTTTGTGAACTTTTAAAAACGATCTCGGAATTATAATCAACGACGACGACGACGTCAACGTTGCCGTGTTAGTGCAAGTGTAGTTTAGTGTGTTTTTTATAAACTTAAACGTACATTTATATCACCAAAACACTGAAAAATGTGAAAGCGTTCAGCTTGAGGTTCGTGTGTCCGCGCGGGTTGATTTCGGCGGCGTGGAAAGTTTATTTTTTAGAGTTTTTGTTTAAATTATAAATTATTATAAATAGTTATTACTGCTGCTGCTGTAGTTATCAAACAACCACAATAGGTAAGTGATCTCACCTCGTGTGCCCGTATCACACTGCGCGTTGTTGCTGGTGATCACCACACACAAAATGTTCTATAACTTTTTAAATTACTGAGTTGTTTATTGTTGTTTGTTGTTGTTTGTTGTTGTTGTGTAGAGGAGGAAGATGGGTCTACCGCCGCTGGAGTTTGTAGATTGTCACATCGACAGCCCTCAGTTCAGGGAACGTCTCAAGTCGCACGAAGTGGCCCTCGACAAAACCAACAAGTTCATCAAGGAGCTCATCAAGGACGGACGGGGCCTCGTAGCCGCCTTCAAAAGTGAGTCGGAGACTTCGTCAACAACAACAACAACAACACGACAACAACACGACAACAACACGACAACAACACAACAACACGACAACAACAGCAACAACAACAACAACACAGCAACAACAACAACACAACAACAACACAACAGCAACACAGCAACACGACAACACAACAACACGACAACACGAAAACAACAACACGACAGCACAGCAACAACCACAACAACACAGCAACAACAACACAGCAACAACAACACCCAACAACAACACAGCAACAACACAACCACAACAACAACCACACAAACACAACACAACAACAACAACAACACAACAACACAGCAACAACACAACCACAACAACAACCACACAAACACAACACAACAACAACAACACAGCAACAACACAACCACAACAACAACCACACAAACACAACACAACAACAACACAACAACAACACAGCAACAACCACAACACAACAACAACACAACAACCACACAACACAACCACACAACAACACAACAACAAAACAACAACACAACACAACCACACAACAACAAAACAACAACACAACAACAACCACAACAACAACACAACCACAAAAACAACACAACAACAACCACACAACAACAACAAAACAACAACACAATAACAACAACAACACAACAACAACGATGCCCCTGAATAGGTTGACCGGGGCATGGAGGCTTGTAGTTGTTGTGTAAGTCAGTAGTGAGTAGCACATTCTTATACAGCAGCGCCTTAAATCTTGTGAATAGATTCAAGTATAACGTTGCAATGTCTATTGTTTACTTACAAACAACTTGCTTATCATGTTTAATCACTGAGTTGAGTGTCTTGTGTATTGGGTCTTTGCTGTGTACAAGGTGGGACTGTCTGTGTGGTCAGTAGTGGTGAGAAGTGATACATCAGTGGCTTACACATCAATGAATAGTGTTTAAAACATAACTTCATAATCATCATCACTCAGTTGGGTGTCTGTGTTGTATTGGGCTGTATCTGTGTACAAAGTGTTGCTGTCTGTGTGGTCAGTAGTGGTGAGAAGTGATACATCAGTGGCTTACACATCAATCAATAGTGTTTAAAACATAACTTCATAATCATCATCATCACTGAGTTGAGTGTCTGTGTTGCATTGGGTCTTTGCTGTGTACAAAGTGTTGCTGTCTGTGTGGTCAGTAGTGGTGAGAAGTGATACATCAGTGGCTAAAATATGAATGAATAGTGTTTAAAACATAACTTCATAATCATCATCACTGAGTTGAGTATCTGTGTTGTATTGGGTCTTTGCTGTGTACAAAGTGGGGCTGTCTGTGTGGTCAGTAGTGGTGAGAAGTGATACATCAGTGGCTTACACATCAATGAATAGTGTTTAAAACATAACTTCATAATCATCATCATCATCACTCAGTTGGGTGTCTGTGTGCATTGAGGGTTGTAGCTGTCAGACACCGTGATCCTGTCTTGTGTAAGTCAGTAGTGAGTTGTACATTCTTATAGAGCAGCGCCTTAAACTCGTGAATAGATTCAAGTATAACGTTGCAATGTCTATTGTTTACTTAAACATAACTTGCTTATCATGTTTAATCTCTGAGTTGAGTGTCTGTGTTGCATTGGGTTGTATCTGTGTACAAAGTGGGGGCTGTCTGTGTGGTCAGTCGTGGTGAGAAGTGATACATCAGTGGCTTAAATATCAATGAATAGTGTTTAAAACATAACTTCATAATCATCATCATCAGTCAGTTGAGTGTCTGTGTTGTATTGGGTTGTACCTGTGTACAAAGTGGGGCTGTCTGTGTGGTCAGTAGTGGTGAGAAGTGATACATCAGTGGCTTACACATCAATGGATAGTGTTTAAAACATAACTTCATAATCATCATCATCATCACTCAGTTGGGTGTCTGTGTGCATTGAGGGTTGTAGCTGTCAGACACCGTGATCCTGTCTTGTGTAAGTCAGTAGTGAGTTGTACATTCTTATAGAGCAGCGCCTTAAACTCGTGAATAGATTCAAGTATAACGTTGCAATGTCTAATGTTTACTTACAAATAACTTGCCTATAATGTTTAATCTCTGAGTTGAGTGTCTGTGTTGCATTGGGTTGTATCTGTGTACAAAGTGGGGGCTGTCTGTGTGGTCAGTCGTGGTGAGAAGTGATACATCAGTGGCTTAAATATCAATGAATAGTGTTTAAAACATAACTTCATAATCATCATCATCAGTCAGTTGAGTGTCTGTGTTGTATTGGGTTGTACCTGTGTATAAAGTGGGGCTGTCTGTGTGGTCAGTGGTGGTGAGGAGTGATACATCAGTGGCTTAAATATCAATGAATAGTGTTTAAAACATAACTTCATAATCATCATCATCAGTCGTCAGCACTAAGTGTTCGTGTCTGTGTGCATTGGGGTTGTATCTGTGAATACTGTGGGTCTGTGTGGTCAGTCGCGAGGAGTCAATGACAGTGGCTTTCACTTGTGAATGGATTTAGTTACAACGTTGCATTGACTATTGTTTACTAAACATAACTCATCATTTTTCATCACTCAGTTGAGTGTCTTGTGTGCATTGGGGTTGTAGCTATGAATACTGCGGGTCTGGGTGATTAGTCGTGAGGAGAAGTGATACATCAGTGGCTTAAACTTCTGAATGGATTCAAGTATGGTATTTGCAATTAATAGGTTCTTAAAACATAACTTCATAATCATCATCATCAGTCTTCATCACTGAGTTGAGTTAGTGTGTGCGTTGGGTGTAGCTGTGAACACAGTGCTACTGTGATCAGTTGTGAGGAGTGAATTACACAATGGCTTAAACTTCTGAATAGATTCAAGTATGGTATTTGCAATTAATGGTGCTTAAAACACAACTTCATAATCATCATCATCAGTCTTCATCACTGAGTTGAGTTCACATGTGCATTGGGTGGTAGCTGTGTACACAGTGCTACTTTGATCAGTTGTGAGGAGTGAATTACATAGTGGCTTAAACTTCTGAATAGATTCAAGTATGGTATTTGCAATTAATAGTGCTTCAAACATAACTTCATAATCATCATCATCAGTTTCGATTTAAAGCTTTCGTGACTGCAGGGATTCATCTTCTTGGTTCTTTCGGTAAAGTCACGTAGAAGGGAAATAATAAAATAATAAAAATGAAACATAATAAAATTATTCTCACGACGTTTCGGCCACAACGCAAGCAGCCGTCCTCAGGTGAAGAACAGGTCTGTCGGAAAGACAGCGTCTGAATGAATGAAAAATATTAAATAAATGGGTTCATTCAGACGCTGTCTTTCCGACAGACCTGTTCTTCACCAGAGGACGGCTGCTTGCGTTGTGGCCGAAACGTCGTGAGAATTATTTTATTATGTTTTATTTTTATTCTTGTATTATTTCCCTTCTACGTGACTTTACCGAAAGAACCAAGAAGATGAGTGGGGGATATTGGTTTCAGCGTCTGAATAATATCAAGCGTATTATTATCGCTGCACTTGAAAATGTAAACGCAATGGAATCTCGGTTATCCGCGTGCGGTTGATCCGATTCGTGAATTAACCGCGCGCAACCTGAGGCTTTGACCTACATTAATAACTCGTAGATTTTCCCCTAAGCAACAAACTAGTCATCAAAAACAGTAACACATTGATATTCTTGGAAAGGTTTATTTACAAGTCACATGGTGCTTAAACCCAACAGAGGAGTTTGCAATATTCCACATCATCATGGGTTCGATCCCGACCCTGACGCCTGCTGCTGTATATGTTGAGTTTGCGTGTCTCTCTCAGTGGTGAGATGTTAACTACCTCGCCTGGTCTACAGGAGGTCGTGGGTTGGATCCCGACCCTGATGACGCCTGCTGTATATGTTGAGTTTGCGTCTCTCCGTGGTGAGATGTTAATTAGCTCGTCTGGTATGCAGGAGGTCGTGAGTTCGATCCCGACCCTGACGCCTGCTGTATATTTGGAGTTTGCGTGTCTCTCTCCGTGGTGAGATGTTAATTAGCTCGCCTGGTATGCAGTAGGTCGTGGGTTTGACCCCGACCCTGACGCCTGCTGTATATTTTGAGTTTGCGTGTCTCTATCTCTCCGTGGTGAGATGTTAACTACCTCGCCTGGTCTACAGGAGGTCGTGGGTTCGATCCCGACCCTGACGCCTGCTGTATATTTGGAGTTTGCGTGTCTCTCTCTCATCATCATCACGGTGGTTAGGAGATGTTAACTACCTCGCCTGGTATACAGGAGGTTCGTGGGTTCGATCCCGACCCTGACGCCTGCTGCTGTATATTTGGAGTTTGCGTGTCTCTCTCTGTGGTCATGTGGATTTTTCCCGCGTCTCCCGGTTTTTCCATCCGCATTTAGAATCAACGTGCGTTTAAGAGTATTTGGCTGCTGTACATTTGCACGCGATAAGCCACATCGTTGGGCTATCATTTGTGGCCAGGTCGCTCAATGGGTCTTACCTGGTCAAATAAAAATTTAACCCGTAAAAACAAAGTTTTTCACTATAAATCCTTTATATGCGTGGCATCGGTTTTATTTTATTATTCATTTCTGTTTTTCTTGAGTAGGAGTTTCATTTTTATCACATTGGTATTTTAAATAAAATATGAAAATTTATTTTTCTCCTAAAAAGTGGAAAATTTTGGAAAAAATTTCACGAAAATTAATTGTCACGCACAACGAGTCTGTGTGCAAAATGTCAGCTCGATTGGATCACGGGAAGTGGGTTAAAAAACGACCGAAAGATTTGCACGGTCGTAAGCGCGCAAGCAAGCAAGTGAACTTAATATAAAGGATTTAAAAATAGTTTAATAGTTCATCATCATCACGATCCAAGGGCAGATATCCCATCGGTGTCCACTACACATTCCGTCATTGGTTTACACTTTCCTCTGTACTGTAGTGGCAATATGCTCAAGTAGTGCACACATTTCGATTTAAAGCTTCTTTCGTGACTGCAGGGATTCATCTTCTTGGTTCTTTCGGTAAAGT